GAACAACATTTTTAATTAAAATGTACATAAAAATATACGAATTTTAAAAGATTTAAATTTGGGGGTTTTGTTTAAGAAGTATTGTCTAAATGCATTTGTTTACGAAAATTAACCAGTCACAAGTAAATTTAACCGGTAAACAAGGTGCTGAGTCAATCAAATTCAAAACGGTATATCGAAATACCTTATCAATAGGTCCTACACTGCATTTATGTGTATTTTATTGTACAATTTTCCGGCACATGACATTTGTTGGCTCATTATTCTTCACATAATTAACCTTTTCAATTTTATCGACTCTATAAAATTGAGTTTCCTTGTATTATCAATGTTCGCCATTAAGTTGTTTACGATGGGGGCCCTTATGGGTTTGTGTACCCTCAATGTGGCCAGCCAGGATATCAGAATATACCATTAAATATGTAGGTATTCTGATTAAATGTTACCATTAACTATTTAATAATAAAAATTGATAAGCTTTTTAAACACAATAAACACAAATCAGTATAGATGTTTTATAAAAGTTAGTCAATATAAAAATAATATTGAAGCCGAGGTAAAACCTTGTAACTGCAAGTACGTACAAGGTTTTCGAGACATTCAATCAATAGGAGTAATGCATGTAGGAAAAGAAGGATGTTGACCGGCTTAAAATATACTAGAAAGTACAAATGCTTGCCAACTAAACTCTCATTTCAACAACAACTATTCAAAGGTAATACTTCAAAACGGCGCGATAGTGCATCAAGCAAGCAGTGCACTCTGCCCGTCAATACCATCACAAAACAAAATAAACGCGAACATTGTTCTCGCACATCGCCGCGTTCCCAACTGATGTATCTCACTCGTTATTTAGTTAGCAGATCACCCCATTGTTACTTAGGAGAAACCACGAAAAAAGCATGGGCGGGGCCCGTATCGCGGCCAGCATCTCGCCCGATGAAACATGTTCGCTATCGAGATACATGCCTTCTACCCGACCGGACGTATAACGACTGAAATGCAACCCTAACTCAAAGTATAAAGTCTCAATTTTGAGTGACGGCAAACACCACAACTTATTAAAGAAAATTCAATTCGCGGCCACGCGAAATAAGCACGAATCCGCGAAAGCAGAAGAGCACAGCCTTCAGCCATCACGGAATATTAATCCTTATTGCTTTAAATCGGTTTTAAATCCCGCATCAGTTTCAGGGTGATTTTGTTTGGAGCTCTCAGGGGACGGTTTGCAATGTGGCGTAAGTGCACTTACGTCGTTTTTCCGGATAAATTGCAAATGTTTATATAGTTGGTATTTATATAGGGTGGATTATAGATAAGAGGCGAGCGTATTTTCATTTTATTACCAAATTACCGATGGCGAGATTGTGCGCAGAGCCGATTGTGCTGGCCGTATCGGGAACATTTGCCAACAGGTAATTGTCTTATTACTTATTTTGTTTGGTTCAAGCATTCCGACACTTCGCGCCTGCTTCGGTCTGATATTTATGGATATATAGTTTACTTCTCACAGTACACTGCAGTTATACTTACTGTGTATATTTATTCAAAACTCGACCTCGGATATTAGCACTACGACGGTTCATAATAGGTAATTTTATTTTATTTTATTAGGGATAATAAAATTAACAGTTAAGTACATATAAATAAGTAACGATACTACCCTTTCTTGTTCTAGGTACATTCAAATAGAACAATCTAATGTAACGAAGTTCAATAAGTAACCGTCCCATGAAAATTATAATAAAATAAAAATAATTATTTTCGCAACACGAAAGTTTTAGAATATTATTGAAACGAGGAAGCGAGCCCTGATTCTAACGCAATATTTACAGTTCCCACCAACCTTCAAACAAACAGCATCGCAGACGCAACAAGAACAAGAATTAATTATAACCCAGCTCTAAGGTGTCCTATCCTCCATCGGCACGACCTTTCGCCAGCCCTTAAATCACGGGGAGCAAATTGATCGATCGGAACCGAGCCCGCTCAGCAATCACATAAGTCAGAATGAGCTGGCCAATGGAGCTTGAGCTGTGGGTTTCAGGTTGCGTAACCTTTTGTCCTATGATCTGGACTGTAAGTAACCTAAGTTCAAGTTCTGACAAAGTTATTTGCACAACTGATTCATCTTTTTTAATAAAACCCCTTCATGTCTAACAATCTGTTGAATCTCTTTTGTAATGTATCGAAAACATTACAAAAGAGATTCAACAAGCCCCACAAACTACTCGTAAAGAAGGTTAGTGTTTATGCCTGACGGAGCAATATTACCTAGCTTAATTATAATGTGGAGCGCTTCATCTACAAATATTGCATTGGTCTGCATAATTCCGGATTGGTTCAAATCGAAACTAAACGCCCTCGAATATTTATGATTTAAAAATGTGCGGCCAATTTATATCAAAGTGTGTTTAAAGCTAGTATACCTAGCTATGGACAAAAGAATCACAGTTCACAGTGTGCAGATCTCAATAAACTGGCCCGTTCGTCCGCGGCGCTTGCGTCGCGTCGACGCTTCATAAATACGAGAGAGGCGCTAAGCGCACGCGCACAATTTATGACGATTTGTGTAAACACGGATTTATTTGTATTGCAACTTGAAGCTCACCAATAAGATATAGACTATGGATTTTGTTTCGTAGAAGTGTTGGGTATGGTTCCTGGTAAGTAAATTTTAGCGAAAATGAAATTATTAAACTAAATTCGTTTTATTTTCATTTAAGTTAGTTTACCTTTAAATATGCATGGTGAAAGGGAAGAGAAATACACTTTTTGTAATTTGTCTACTGCATATAAATGAATATTGCTGTCAATAAATATATTTTACTCATATTGTTAATAATAGGCTTTAAAAGTAAGTACTTACATGTAACAAAACGTGTTCAAGAAAATCGATACAAGAGCTTTACATCATTAATTCGATTGACTCTATCTATCAAAGAAAAAACAACAGAAATGGGTTGACCATTTATACAACATATCTCTCTATCGGCCATACGATCAGACAGGCATTTAATGGCGCGATGGTAATCTCTTAAAAATGTGACACTATGACAGGTTACTGTTATTATAACACACAAAGACACAACTTTAGTTTTGCCGTCGAACAGAAAATAGTAACTCGTGTTACGACGACGTAAAAACGAAAATCCAGTAATTTGTCACTTACGACTTTATACGTTGCGAGTCCATTTTGTTTGACATCCGGCGTACACGCACCGTAACGTCGATTACTCGATAATTTTCAGAGATTAACATCGGTTTTTGACAACACTATTTTAAAATACATAAAACGTGTTTGAATAACATTACAGCGATGTAGAAACAGTTTTTGAATGGGCAATTTAGGTGATGCAACATTTTACTTACCTACACTGTTTGAAATATCAAAACCTAGTTAGGTATTACCTATTTTGATTTCAAAACGATTTTTGTGGAATCAAACAAAAAAAGGTTTGCCTATTAATTAATTATTGGGGGTGTTAGCGTCTGAGTGAGCCTTAGAGATCTCGAAAATAAAAATCAACATGAATACTTCTTGAGCTAACAATCAAAACTGGGGGTGGTGCCAGAGTGAGTGAAGGGGGCTGGTTTTCCATTGATATAATTGTAGTTAATGGCGACAGGACGACAGACCTTCAATTCATCTCGTTTAGCGTCAAGGTCTGCTTTACGCTGCTCCTCAAAGTCGCGGATTCGCCTCTTTACAAGACCTCCCTACCACCTACCTGATAAATACAGAGAGTCCTAGAAATCCCAGTATGGCAGTACAGTGCGATTCAAACAGATACAGTTGATCGTCGCCTACGCACTATTGTTTGGGCCTGAGCCCGTTTTGTACGCAGATAGCATCGGTACGAGCACAAAAACAGTACTTCACTAGCTAAATAAGGACCGACTGGTTTCAAGGGGGCTGTACAAGGAGGAACATTGATTTCACTAAGTTCTCCGTTGCTATCAATAAGATAGGTATATTTTGTAAAACTTATTTTCAGACAGCCACTCGCTACATTCGCCCCCGTATGACAGTTATAGGCGAATGCAGCGAGTGGCCGCCTGAAGTATAAAACATTTTTTTTTAATAAGTGGCGATAATTTATCTCAAGTAAAAAAAATATTAGCAGCACTATGAAAACAATTTATCACAACAATTTTTCTAAGAGCACATGCCTGCCACAAGGTCGGGAAAGTTTTTCAGATTCTTAGAAAAAACATGTCTTTAAAAATACATTTCATTGGTTTGGGTCATCTAGCTTTTGGCCATTGTGTTTGTGTTTACTCTTCCCATGCGTGTTGCCATAACTTATAACTTTAACTATAGAGCTGGAATAAAATATATTCGTGTATAATTAAGGCAAAACACGATGTACTTTGTTTATCTAATCTCTTGATCTAAAGTCGAACCATTACCAGTCACAAAACATACACACAGACGTACAGCGATGTGAAACATTATACACTTTTGGGACACACTGCTCGTATGAACGGAGATCAATGGATAGTCACCGGGCTGGTGCGGAAGATAGCATGAATATCATAAGATATGGGACTTCTGCAACAGCTACAATTATGTAAAAGTATTGTGCAGTGCATGGCGTTTCTACCTACTGTATAGTCAAAGGCATACCCCTGTCTCCATTCAAATAATCCAAATAAATTCAGGGGATCTGGCAGAAAAAAACTCAAATTTACGAAACGATTGAGTTTACAAAATTCCGCACAAAAAGGGATGTCATGAGTCATGACGTCATGACATTCATGACTAAAGTCACCGCGTGAAATTGAGGCCATCACAGATTGCTATTTGCTTCGAGCAACGCGGATTATCCGTTCCGTTCTGGCTATTTGTACGGTGGTTGTTACAAATCGCAATACTGTCCGGTGCGATTCACCATGAAGTTGGTAGTAAAGTTCTAAATACTTTCTACACATGACCCTAGGTCGTCGCTTGGAGACGAGCATCAAGTGATTGAAGAATTTGGCAGGCATCTACCGTTGCATCGGTAGCTCAGTGGCAGTGCGTTGGGGCGTTAACCCAAGCGGCCCGGGTTCGAGCCCTGGTTGATGCATGACAACTTTTTCAATTTCTTATTTTCATTTCTTCTTTACAGCCACAACAGTCCACTGCTGAACTGGGGCTAGCTCGTATTTATGAGAATTATAGCACTGTGAGTACATTGAAATCCCAATAAGTTGGATACTGTTCACAGCAGTGTGTCTCCCGTTATCTCGTCATCTGAGCACGGCACACAATCGCACATCTAACTCGTAACCTGACGCCTGTCAAAACACACCACTGTGTGAGACAATAAGTAGACAAGGTGGAAAAAACTCAGCCAAGTTGCCGGTCGACAAAGGTTATCGAGGTATCTTTGTCTTTCTGTTACAGTAGTGGGTTTAGTTATTCAACTCTATGATCACTGGTGTTTGATATTGAATGATCATCGTTTACCGAGTCAGGCTGCCTCTGCCCGAAGCCTACTCTTATTTAGGTGTGCTTGTTCAGCTAGATTGCACTTAGCCTGTGCTATGGAATTGTTGTCTGGGGTGGACCGCTAAAAAGTGGGTATTTCTCATATCCACCACCCTTTCGTAAATAAACACAAGATATTATGTCAAGAAGGAATAACTCTCCAAAATACTTATGTATCAATGGAAAGTCTTTTTATTTGTCAGTATAATTCTCTAAAATAAATACAATACAAGTTTTGTGACACTTTTCAAATTCAAAAATTTGTAATACTATAATAACTAAAACATACTTACAGCTTTAACATTAGATAATGAAACAAAGTGCCGGTTCTCAAACTAAAAACTGAAGTTACAAATCTGTTACTTACTATCAACCAGCACTTAGGCGCTTTCAATCCCGGCTTGCCACATATTAGGCCGATGCTATCTCCCCAGCTATTAACCGACAACGATTAAACAATGGGCAAGATGGCGCCTAAATCGAAAAAATAATTCGCCTAATTTGTCCGGACAATCTGACGGATTGCCTCTTATTAGTCTGCCAGATTACGGACGGCACGATCGTTAACTGCGCTTCCACGTAATTAGTACTATTTGTTTTTGCCGGGTTATCTTGAGCTCTCATCGAACTTTTGCCCGAACAATAGGGAAAGGCGTCGAGGTCGAAATTTGAAAGGGTTCGTGATTGGTCGGGGGCATTTTTTCAACTTCATCTAGAGCGATTTGTTAGTCGGCTTGGACAACCACTTTTTACCAAAAGTTATATGTTTACCTTTGAAATTGTCACTGCTGCTAATTTAGGAGTATGAAAAGAGAACAAGAATGATGAAAAGTTACCTTCATCTACTACTAAATAAAAGAAATTGACAAATAATGATGTCATAGATATTGGACACAATTGATAAAATAAATAAAATGTACATTTTTAACAAACAACGCAAAATATAAAAGATTTTTGTGCTTGTTCTTGAGTTGCAGCAAAACAATTTCATAACTTATCAGATTTAGAAAATATGTAATATGTGTAAGACACTGACGTTCTGCCCACCAAGGAATATATTCACCGTGATTTTATGCATGTACAATTTGTACAATCAAACAGTTCAGCTTCTCAAAACGCCATCTCGGCCTATTTATCACATCGTAACATTAACTGATGCACTTGCAACCGTACCCTCTGAAACCCGACACCGTTTTATTCAGTTTCGTAATCTCTTGTTGTGTGGCTACTTAGGGAAAGATTTTTTTCAAAGGGAAGTCGTAGCAAGTAGAATGTAGCCGTAAAAAACTTTTTGCAACCAGATTTGGTGCTTGTTAAAAACAAATACATGTACAGTAGTTAATACTGCCAAAGCAGTATATTCCAATGCAATATCATAATCCGTAGTCAATTTTCTTTTTTCCTCTTTACACTCAGGTTCAAATTGATCTAAAAGAAGTCCAACAACCTATAACAAACCACGCATAAAATAAGAAACTATTGTGCAAATTAATATTTTATAAGACGAATTTGTCTGAGATTGACTTGAGAATGAACTGAAAATTAAATCAATTTTAGTGCTAATATGTGTATTTAGTCGTGTGTACGTTTAGTTCTGTTCTAGAACGTTCCAAGCAAGATCGGCAACCTCTTTCGGCTTCATTCTGATTGCTCGTAATCTGTTTTGAAACATTTCTCTGCTCTGAGCTTGCTATCGTTCCAGTAACCCGCGGGTGGCCATCCGTGGGTTGATACAGGTGATAAATTGTGTTACACTTCTACAAACAATCTGATGTTATGAATACATACTTGTATTGTTCAGATTGTTCATATTTGGATGCGATTGGTGGCCAAAGATTACGGATGTAGGTTCAATATTACGAATCAGCAGTGCTGCAAGATACTTTCATTCAGGTGGTTTCAAAATCGATTATGGTAAAATTTTCACCAGCACAGTAGAATTTTTGATTTATATGAATATGATATCAAAGACCTAATGCACAAATTGACATTTTTCATACAATATCTACGAAGATTATAAGCAGATTTGATTAAGTGTGACCTGTCAGGTGAGTAAAGTGAGATGGCGTGGCGTGTAAAATCTTGGGTGTCATATAAAAAACAGTCTAAAATTCTGCTACAGTATCTCTACATGCTTGTAAAATTGTGTGATGCAAGATGCAAATGTAGCTAATACTGAAATGCAAATCTAATTTTAGCTAATACGTTTCAATGAGTCCAGAGGCTAGAGATAGGTAGGTAGATACTCTTCTATAATTAAATTATGTTGAATGGGCACTTCGATTCGAAATGAACATGAAACAACCAGGACCGACCTTTCATATTTCGATACGATCATCATTTCAGCATAAGTACTGGCCAAGTTACCTACCTACAGTTAGGTATAACATAACATTTACTGGAAAAAAAAACAAGGATTTGCAGTTTTGACTTATTAATAGATTCAATTATAAATAATTCCCTATTAGATTAGACCCACACCATATCTACACAGCAAGAAATCCCCGATCACATCCGTGATATCAATTCCGTGATATCAATTTTGATATGTGTCAATTAAAACTGAATATTAATACTAGCGTCATATATAAAATTATATTTAAACTATAATTTATATATAAGCGGTGGATCGATTTAGCGTCTGTCTCATCTGGGATTGATAAGAAGCGATAAGCAGATATTATACAGTCTATCTCTTCAAATAATATTCAATGAAATATGAACTTTAATTCTTCGAGATAAGGTTGCTTTAAATCTGTATGGTTTTTGATGTAATAGTAGATTTTGGGAGCACTGTACGTCTCTTAATGGACTCTGTTGTCTGAGTGATAAGATAGTAGTAATGAATCTCCGTTTTAAAATTATTCTATTGATAAAATATGTTTTGAGGATCGTCTGGTTTAGTTTGATGCAAATGAAACGTTGCCCTATTTCGAAGGAACTTCTTCTGGAAGAATACCTACAATCATATATTCTCCCAATTATCTAGGAATGTAAGAGTATAACGTATATATACTTACTACAAATAAGCAACCTTAATTGATCCTTGTTAAAGGATCTTAAAAAATAGGTACTTAAAAATTTTGGAAATTATGTACCGTACAAAGTAATCTTTAATATTTAAACGTGTGGAAAAAAGAAAAAAAAGATCTCTACAAGGTGGAAAATCACATATTAGTAGGCTTGAAATACACTTTTTTAGGTAGATTCTAGAGACTACAAGGTAAAAAATCACGTAATAGTAGGCTTGAAATACAATTTTCTAGGTAGATTCTAGAGACAAAGAAAATTCGTAACCAAACAATTTTATCAATTTTATTTTTAAATTCCGCGTCACAAATAAATTTAACTTTAAGTGCCGCCACCCGGATCCTACGTTAACTAATAAATTTTTACTGATAAGCTACTGATAAGGAGGTATACATATAAAGGCAGTGCAACAGTTGACATAATGAGCGATACAGACGCGGCGATAAGCCACGTATGTGTGTATGCTGCTTTATTTTGTATCGACTAAGTTGCGGGACTTTGTTTGCTAGATTTGCTACAGATAATTTATTCTGCAATGGTTTTACACATATGCTGAAAACAACTTATAAATTCGCACTTGAGCATTGGCACTTTATAAATTCGGGTTAAATCAAAAGACAACAACACATTTCAGTTTGTCAAAATTTTAAACCATAGGTAGGAATGTTACGTCGAATATACCTATAAAATTGAGAGTTGCTATAAAATATGTAGTCGTATCTCATACATAATACCTATCATAGATCATACTGCATGCGTGCGCCAAAAATTATGTAACAATGAAGAACAGGCTCATACTTTGAAAACAAATCATAGATGGTGTTTTCAGATGCTTAGGAATCACTACAATGTTATCTCTTTTATCAGACTGATTAATTTTAATATTATTTTTAATATTAGTATGGACTGAAAAGTATATATTAAGCATCTGAAAAACGCCATCTATATTTTCTTTTCAATTACCTGACCCTGACAGTTCCTCATTAAGCCAAAATACCGAAAAGAGAAATTAGTCCTGTCACCAGTTGGCATGATGACGTCACTGTTCAGGGCAAAACACTTAAATGTCAAATTTATGCTTTTCAAAATTCCGAGTCTAGACCATGTTGGTTCTCGATTATTTTGTTAAAATGTATTTATACAACCTTAGTTCTCATTTTTATAAGTTTATCGGTCATGTTGAACTGAGATAACATCTTCGTTGATAATAATCAGATAGCGTTTGGCAATTTCATGAAAACGATGTTTACGACCAAATACCTACATACCAAGTAAGTATGTATGCAGGCACTATTCAATAGTAGATATAGTCATGGTTCAATTAGTTTTAGTATATCACATCATAGATAAATCATAAATACTCATAATTTAAAAATGCTAAAAATAATTAAAGCGCCAAAAAACTTAAAACCTTGCCCAGATCCAGAAAATTTTGCACCGGCAGCAGGAAACCATTTTGACGCAGGCTCTATTAATTGTTTTCTATAATATCTAGATTTATAACGTACCTACTAATTTCATGAATATCAAACTCATTTATCGCCCACACAGAGATCACTCTGTTTC